GTACTACAGATCGTTTGCAGACACTGACATTTGCATCCTCACATAAACCTGGAGACTAAACATCCTGAAACTTTTTATTCTAAATATTTGATTTTCCTTTACTGATACTGCACATTTTGTTTCTTTGTCTATCTCGCAGCTGGAAAGTGGAACCACAATTCTTCAGGTGCTCTGTAACTTGTAGGAGATCTTGCAGAATCAAGAGAACAATCCCAAATGGGATAAAAGAGGGCTAAGCCTGTTGCTGAATAGTTTATAAGTCACTGCTGTGCCTTCTGGGTTGTGCTCATGAGAGGCCTGAGGGAGGAATTTGTGATAGGAGGGATATTACCTTGGGATTGTTTTCATGAGCCACTACTCATCCAATCTAAGCCTATCCCAATGGCTGGGCAGCCTCTGGCCCTTTGCTCTGAGACAGTTTATGGCTGCACAGCTCAGCCTGGAACTACAATGGTGAAAGGATTTTAGCAAAGCAAACAATTCTGGCACCAACTGCTTATAAATAATAGCTGAGCAATGAAATATTAATGCAGTTGATACTAGACTGCAACAGAGAAATCCATGCTCCAGAGCTGTCTACTGGTAGACTGGTAATCTGCACTAAAAGAAATCTTAAGAGTCAGAGCTATTAACATCCTGAATTTTTTAAGGCTCAGTCTCCTCTGAATTATTATCTTGAAACTCTTATAGTTCCATAATATGCAGAGAGTATGCAAGATTTTTGTACATTGGGATGTTCATGTGGTTCCCCTGCAATGGAAGCAGCACTGACAGGAGCTGCTTTTGGCTGAATTTTCAGTGAAAGTGAAACCTGCTTTTTATTTTAAAGTATTATCAGAAAATGAATACAGCAGCTGCTGCAATGCAAATCCCTGCTGTGACCCACTGGGAAGAGGGATGATGTTCCAGCACAGAGAGCTCTCAGCCACGTGGAACCAGCTGGTCTTGCAGGAAAAGCACCCTGTGGATACCTGGTGCCTGTGACCATCCCAGTGCTGTCACCAAAATTGCTTTGGAAATTCCTATTTAGTTTTTAATGCTGGCAGCTGGGCAGGCTGCACTGAACTGCAGGCACGTCACCCACCCAGGCTGTCCCTCAGGGCTGTGGATCTTCCTGGCTCTTGTCAATGCTCCACTGCCATTAAACTCATCACAAATGAGTTTCTGAATGATTAATTTGAAACAAAACCATAGCTCAGGGCAGCTGCCATTCTGTTTGGGCAGTGGAGAAAGGCTGCAGCCCGGGGGCAGTGGGTTTGTATTCCCTGGGGTCCCTGCCCTGTGCTTCTCCTCAGCTCCCTGAGCTCATGCCTTTTTCCACACTCTTTTTGAGGAGCACAGACCCAAAACCGAGGCAGTTCAGGTCTGGCCTCTGAATCTGTCACATTAATGTGTGGGTTTGAAATCTACCCCTCCTTCTCTCCATGTACAGTCTCCCATCCGTATAAGGCCCACGCGAGCACAAAGCCAGGCTGGGCTATTTATATTTCCTTGCCCAGCCCTACCCACCCAACACTGCATGGCTGGGATCCAGGTCCCACCCTGCTCTCCCAACAGCACAGCCCTTCCCAGGGAAACTCACATCTCACACAGCTCAGAGCAGCCACCAAAGCCCCCTGAAGAGCACATGAGCCCCACGGGACCTCCAAACAGGACAGTGTGGGGAGCACGCACTCACACCCCTCAGCAAAGCTGCTCTTCCCAACAAAAACACTGCACATCCCCAGGGCTCCCAGAGTTCCCAGAGCTCAGCCCACACGAGCCTCAAAATAAAGGACTGGCACACTTTAGAAATTCAATACTCCGTGTGCGTGTCGAGTGCTGCAGGGGTTTGTCCGGTTGTGACAAAATCAGCCTTTGGCATTTGCAGAAATAAGTTTAATTGTCAAAAACAGTTTGGAGGAAAATGCCAAGCTTACATAAACTGCCACGTGCTGCTCTCCAGCTGAACACGGCACAAAGTCTGGTTTTAGAGCAGTAGCTGCTTGCACAGGACATCCATTATTTAACCATGAACTGCAGTAACCAGCCCCATGTTCAGGATCCTAAAAACCAGGAGATTTGGGATGAAGTCACTTTAGTTTGTTTTTATTAGCAACCACTCTCACGGAATTTTTTGGTGTCCTGATTTCTCTGAAAGACAGGAGCCCAGGACAGAGGCACAAAGGAAGCTCTGAGCTCTGCTCCCAGGGGCTGCTGAGCAGTGCAGGCACTCCCTGACATCAGACTTTTTAGGAAGGTAGGTTCTGCACTGAATGTTTGTGTACACATTGGCCTGTCAAAGCTGTCACCTCTGCTTTGTCTCAGCAAGTTTTCAAATGAGAAAGATGGGGCAATTTGGAAGGGCACAGTTGTTTTTGAGTTTTATTCTAAAGAATTTATTTAATTACCTATATTAAGTCGATACAAAAACTCTTATGTCAGAGAAATCAGACCAGCTCCTGGCAAAATCAGCTCAAAGAGGATAAGCAAGTGAGAAAACACAAGCACAGATGGGACTGAGAGTGATGCCTGTAAATGTTCTGCTCAGTACCTCCCCTCGGCCAGGATGTGGGAATGGTATCCAGCCCTACACTTTCTCCCCCAAATTTTGAAACCACCCCACCAGATGTGATCAGGATCATGCCACAGGTCAGGCTTTCCCTGATAAAAATTTGGTTTTCATCTCCTCCTAATCTACAGCAAGCAAAACACAATTCTCACAGGCAGTCTGACTTCCCTCCGAGGTGCAAAAGGTCTTATTTGCACTCCCAAAATAAACCCTCCACAATGGCTGAATCCTCAGGACTCAATGCTGAGAGAATAATCAAATATCATGAACCAGAAAAGAGCTCATTTATCTTTACCTCTTTTATTTCACCCAACTGCAGAACTGTGCAATATTGAACCCTATTAGAGCAGGACTCTTGCTCTGCTCAGATCTCTCACCCGAAAACAACCACGCTGCTGTAAAAAATTATGGAATTTTTTACATCTCTAAGGATGAGTTTATCTCTTGTTCTCCAAAACAAAAGACCAGTAAATGTTTGGACTTTTTGCCACAGCAACTGGGAGCACACAGGAGTCACCCCCAGCTTGGGAAAGTAGCTTTCCCCGAGTCAGAGAGGAGCAATAATGTGCTCAGCACTACAGAATTAATTACATGACCAGCAAGGTACCCAAGGGACACTTCGGGAGGTGGGGGTCTGAGAAGTGACACACCGAATTAGACGAGAGTTATTTTGTAATTATTTGGTTTTAAGTGTAGACACGGTTAGGAAAGCACAGTGAATTGCTCAGTTAACCCCAGGGTGGACTCCAGTGCTGGATGCTTTCCCTCCAGGGCAGGGTCTGCCCCATTCCCATGGAAGTGCCAGCATGTCCATGAGGCACAAACAAATCCATTTCACATGGTGCAAACCTGGAGAATTCCTTACCTGTGCTCTGTGACATTCAAATCACACTAAATTCCATGCTGGGAAATATCCCAAATCCCAAATAATTTTTCCCCCCAATGCCTCCATGATTCCTCAAGTCCCTGGCACAGCCCCTGGCCAAAGGACTCTTTCCAAGGCTGCTCTGTCCTCACCACAGCAGCAGGGGCAGGCCCCAAGCCTTTAGAAACAGAATTGCTTTTTCATATTCAAAAAGAAACTCTGCTCAATATCAATAAGCCACAGCAGACCAACACAAACTGCTCATGAAACACTAACCTGCAGATGTTTGGGATGCTTCCCAAGGACCTTGAACCTTGCCAACTTCCTACCTATTTCCGTAACTGACATGGAATGTTATGTTTAAACAATTCCTTCCACTCCTCTCATTTTGCAGTTGTTGTTGCTTCTATTTTATTTTTCCATGGAATTACTGATAGAAAGAGCTCATAATAAATCCACACACATGTATCTGGCTATGACTGGTTGTGTTTCCTGTATGATCTGAACAGGCTTTCAGCCTTTCAGTCGTGATAAAACAACAAATGCTCACACTCTGAACCAAGAAGTCCCACAGGTACGTCTGACCCCTGAGCCTGTCATGAGCCACTCGCCCTCAAACCTCACAGAAAGGACCATTCTCCATTTTATTCTGCTTTTCTTCTCTCTCTTCCCATGATCAGCACTGGAAGCTTCTCCATTTGTTCCTAGTGCTGGCTATTATTAACCCAGAGGCTTTCAACTGTAGCATTAACTGTTTCACTCACTTTTCTCCCCTGGCCCAATAGAAGAGTTTGCTCTGATGCAGAAATCTAACTCCAGGCAGGAAACCTGACAGAAACATGTTCCTCTCTCTCTCTCTCTCTCTCCTTGTTTAATGTTATGTGAAAACTCCAACTCTTAGTGCAGGGGGTGAACATCAAGCAAACCAAAGTTGTTACTGAGACCAAACAACAAGGAGGCTCAAGGCTTGCAGGATGCAGAAGAAAGAAGATGGGAATTGTACAAGCCCTCAGCAAAGGCCACCCTGAGCACCACCAAGCTCAGGGGGCTGGGCTGGATTTTCTCTGACAGCTCTATCTGCCCTGCCTGGTCAGATTAACCCTGAGGCTGGGGTTACTATCACTTGTTACCAGATGCATGTCACAAATTTGAAATATCATCGGTCTCCACGTAGCCATACACATGGTGTCTCTCGGTAGAAGGCACGTTGGCAGATGGATTTACAACACCCCCTTCCAGATCCCAGAGCACTATTGCTCTTTGTTGAGCTAAGCAGTTAAATCGGGTTATTTTGATACTTCTGGCCCATTGCACTGAGTTCTTAGCGCTGGGAACTCACGATTGATCTCTATCCGCATTAAAATTCCTGTCAAACGGGACAACTCTGTCAAACTTTGTCTTAGGACGCACAGAAAATGTTAAACCACGAATGAGAGTGACGGGGGACCCGCCTCAGTTTGGACTGCCAGACAATCTGGGGAGTTTGGGAGAGAGCTGGGCCGAACATGCAGCGCGACAGGACCCTCAGCAAAGAAAACACCCACTAATAACAGGATGTAAAGACATCATGAAACAGCTCCTTACCTGATAGATCATGACTTTGAAGTTCCTGCGTTTCAGGAGCTCCGCTTCGTTGGCCTCCAGCTTCTTGATCTGCCCGGCTTGCTTCTCCAGGTTCTGCCGCACCGTTTTCACGTTGACGCTCACCTTGCGCACCTTCTCCAGCATTTTGTTGACGGTGTTGCTGGTGGTGGTGTGTGCCTTGGTCAGCTTGGTCAGCTCTCCCTGGATGCTGGTCACTGCGCTATCCATCTCTTGCTGTCTCTCCTCCAGCTGTGTTTGGGTCAGCTGGATCTGATCCACCGCTCCGATGATCTTGTCCAGAAGGGTCAGCACCATCACGCCGTTGATCTGGTCTGCTTTGATGGGCTCCTCGGGTGCTTGCTCCTCCGAGGTCTCAGAAACAGTGGGTGGCTCGATGATTTGCAAGGTGGTGTCCTCCATGGTCGCTCGGGAGTCCTGGCTCACCCGGAGAAGCTGTCACCGCAGGGAGAGAGCAGGGAAAACTGAGCCCGAGCCTCAGCTCAACTCCGCGCTGGGAGAGGCGCCAGGAATGGGGAGCGCAGTGAGTGAGCGTCTGTGCTGAAATTCAAATGGCACAGCCCCGCACAGCCGGCCAGTGGAACTGCCCTGCAAAATTTTCCAGGCTTGCAGGTCATTGGCTGACTCCACCTCAGCTATAGAAAAGGAGCCGCTGCCAAATGCCTGCTGACCCACCCTTTTGAAATGATTAAAATAGTTGGAGGGGAGACGATGGCTCTGCATGCAAACACAAGCACGGCTCAGCCAGGAATGCAAGCTCTGGAACTGCAGCCGCCCCTGCTTTACTCTCAGTCTAAAGGCATTGAAGTAACAGGAGGAAAAAACAAAATCCTTTAGTAAACGGCTCGGGAAGCTGCTGGGAAGAGAGTGGGAAGCAAGCAGCCCCATCTGGGCACAGCTGTGAGCACTGAAGGCTGGTTTAAACAACTGCACATGCTGAAGTTCAGCTGGAAGTTCAGACCTTTTGCCAGTACTTAGGTTTGGTGGGTTTTTTTTCCAGGACTATGACAGCCTGAATTTCAGTACTTTAAACAAATGCTACAGTTTGAATTCAGCAGTTACAGCATGAAAAGTGGACTGGAATCTAAGATACAAGTCTGTATCTTAGGAATGCCCCCTCCCATGTATGAATGTGCAAGAGGCACACACGGTACATGCAGGGTGCAACACTCTCCACACAGATTTAACTCAGAGAAGGACAACTCCCTCCTGAGTGAGGCAGCTGGGCACTCCCCCTAAAGGAGCTCTCCCAGCCCTGCAATCCTCGAGCCTCCTGCAGGTCCAGTCACCAGACTTTAAATGCGGGACACTACTTGTAAACAAAACCCAAATTACTCGTGGATTTAGTGGTAAAAACCCTAAATGATTTAAAACAGGGAGACACGTGGGAGGTGCCACCACAGACCCTGCAACAAGCCAGCTGAACACGCCAGGAATGTGGAGAAGGAAAGTTCAGATCTTGGGAGTGACCCTGGGCCAGAGCCTTCTCTGGTCCCGGGGTTGCCTCAGCCAGAGGGAACCAAGGACAGAGCTGCCACTTGGGAAGCTGTGGGCACACGGGGAAGGTGGCAGCTGCCCTCATTTACAGCTTTGACCCGGGGTATTGACCCTCAGCACTCCTGCCAGGCCCAGCCTGCTCTCAGCCTTCGCTGGGGCAGAGCGGGATCCAGCCCAGCTACCCCGGGCTGCAGAGGACGCTGTTCGTGCCCAGTGCTCACAGCAGCCAGCGCTGTCCCTGCCGTGTCCCTGCCCCGTGACTGCTCGCTGTCCCCACTGACCTGCGCCTGGTGGCTCTGGGATCACAGCACTTGTGCCCTGTGCCCCCATTGTGTCACGCAGTGAGAACAGGCTGCTTTCTGTGCACTGATCTTTCCTGGAGGGAGCTTTTTCCAGAGTTTATTTCCAGTGTTTGCTGCTGCTGCTGAGAGTTCCATGAAAAAAAGGTTCATCCCAAGGCCCCAGAGCTGTTTGTCCCTGGGGTCACCTGCTCCACAGGTGAGTGTAGGGACTCAGGTGCAGGGCAGGGCACACATGGACCAGAGCTCCTTTAATTTCTCTTCAGAAATTCTGAATTTATGAGTTCAGCCTTTAAAGTGTTATGTGGAGACTCATCAGGGTCATAATACAAATTCCACTGAAGTAACAGATTAATTAATTAATTGAGCACTTGATCAAAGCCTGAAGCTTTCAGAGGTCAGTTGTGGAGCAAAGCTGATATTTGAAGTGTTCAACACCCATTCCATGCATGACTGCAATGCCTCTCTGTCCATTTGGGAATAATAATTTTTAAAAAATCTGCCTGAGTAGGTCAGCATGGATAGAACCAGACAAGCCCACAGGCCAGGGATGGATATTTGCTCGTGGGGCTCAGGGAGCTGAAGTGCCCACAGCAGTTATCCTGGGCTGGGACGCCACGAGCCATTTTCTGTGTCTGGATTACCTTCACTCAGCCCTTTCCTGCTGCGGAGACACCCAGGAGCAGCCAAGGGCTGGGAATTTGCAGCCTCAGCCCGGAGCCGATCTCTTCCAGCAGAACACCGCCCGGACCTGGGGCTGCTCCTCGGATGTCGCTGTCCCGGGCCGGGCACGGGGCCTCGACCGGACCGGACCGGAGGAGAGGCCGCGACCTCGCACCCAGGACACGCTCACCGTGACGTCACGCCGCCGCTCATGACGTCACCCACCGCGGCGCGGTGCCGCCTCTATCATCACGTCCGGGGCGGGGCCGCGCGCGGTCGCCGGGAGACGTGCGCGTGACAGCGCCCCGCGCGGACGGTGACGCGCGGACGGGAGCCGGCTCGGGTCAGGCGGCGGCAGCGGCAGCGGCAGCAGCAGCGGCGGCAGGTAATGGCGGGGAACGGAACGGGGCTGGACACGATGAGGGCGGCATGGGATGGGGTGGGGATGCCGCGCCGGGCCGGGCTCCAGGCGCAGCCGCGCTGTGTCGGGGCGGCGCAGGCGGGCAGGCCTCGGTGCCTGCCCCCGGCCCGCTCCTCACGGCCCGTGTCCGCAGAGGCCGCGGCGGGAGCGGCGCCGCCATGGGGGAGCTGTTCCGCAGCGAGGAGATGACCCTGGCGCAGCTGTTCCTGCAGTCCGAGGCCGCGTACTGCTGTGTCAGCGAGCTGGGCGAGCTGGGCAAGGTCCAGTTCCGCGACGTGAGTGTCCCCGCCGCGATGGCGGCACCGGGAGCGCCGGGAGCGCCGGGGCCCGTGGCGTGGGCCTTTGCTGAGTGCCGTGTCTCTCCCTGCAGCTGAACCCCGACGTGAACGTGTTCCACCGTAAATTCGTCAATGAGGTCCGGAGGTGCGAGGAGATGGACCGAAAGCTCCGTACGTTCCCGCTGGGGTTGATGTGGCTCTGACTCTGCGGCTTTTTTGGTTAAAAATATAAAAAACGAACAGTGGAGGCAGGCTGAAGCTGCAGGGTGGCGTTTGGAACAGGGCAGAGGGGGGTTAAAAACGCCAGTCACTTGTTTTTAAAATTTTAAAAGCTTAATAGTAATAAAATGGTTATAAAAGTAGCAATATACTTAGAGGAATAAAAATTTTGACAATTTGGATTAGGACAATATGACACAATAAAAGCAAAGAGTTAGGGACAGTCCAGGTACCTCTTTCTGGGCAAAATAAAACCAAAAAAGGACCCACGTTAACAGAGATTAACCCTTAAAAGCAACAGCCTCTTGCATATTCATACACCTCATACAGGATGCATAAATCCCATTCAAACAAAGGATTCTGTCTGGTCAGTGTCAACTTCTTCCTCTGAATCCTGACAGCATCTTCAGGGCTGAGGAGGCAGGAAGAAGTTCGTTTATTCTGATAATGGAGCAATAAATTCTTTTTCTCTGAAAGATTTAGGTGTCCTGTGGCTGCTGTCTTGGTGCGAGTACCTCATTCCTTTTTTAAAAAAAATATCCCACAAACATAGTTTCTATTTTAACATTATGTTATAACCTAAAACTGTATTTAACACACTACTGTAAAAATTAATTCAGCATAACTTTCTAACATAACACATATAATATTCATTTTAATATTTGTGAAAAGCCAGTCATAAAATGCACATTTTTCACAGAGGTGAGGGCACAGGCAGGGCTCGCTGCCTCCAGGGATTCACCTCCCCTGGAAAGATAACTCTGGCCAAAGCAGACACCTTGGAATAGGAGGTGAAGGAATCAGCTGCTGCTGGGGCCAGGGGCAGGTTGAGGGAACTGTTTGACACTAAAATGTCTGTAATTAACATTTTTAATGCTGTCTCGGCAGGGTTTGTGGAGAAGGAGATTAAAAAGGCAAATATTCCCATCATGGACACGGGTGAAAACCCAGAGGTGCCTTTTCCACGTGACATGATTGACCTGGAGGTAATGATGTGTTGAGACTTAAACCAGTATTTGATTCTGGGTGGAAGCAGGGGAAATTGTCTCTGTGGGAGGATGCTTGCAGGATTTAGTGGCAGAGGGGCATTAGCTCAGTGTCCAGCTGTCCCTGGAAGCAGCTCTGCCAGCTCACATTGTCCAAATGCAGAAGTGAGAGTCCTCAGTAGGAATTTCACCACTGAAATGAGCCAAAAACTGCTGGAACCACATGGTTTGTGGTGGTGGGGCATAAAGTTTATCACGGTTTTATTGATTTGAAGAAACTCTATCAATGCAGTCCGTAAAAGTCTGGCTGGCTGTGAGAAGCCTGCAGATGCCTCCAGATGTGGATCTGTGCCACAGCAGGCTGGAGATGCACCTGTAAATCCATGCAAATTGGGTGGGGATGTGAAGCATCTCACTTGCCTCTGTGTGCTGACAGACTGAACAGCACTTAATTATGGAATTAAGTCCTTTTTCTTTCTCCTTTTCACATCTTCCAGGCAAACTTTGAGAAAATTGAAAATGAGCTTAAAGAAATCAACACCAACCAGGAGGCTCTGAAGAGAAACTTCTTGGAGCTGACAGAATTAAAGTTTATACTGCGTAAAACTCAGCAGTTTTTTGATGAGGTCAGAATACCGGTGGGGTTTAACACTTGGGGAGCTGGTTCTTCTCACAGAAATTACCATTTTTATTCTCAAATATATTTCAGTTGCTGTTTCGGACAGCAAGGTCATTTTATGCTTTGTTTGAGAAAGCTGCACAAATTATTTTCCATTTTTCATGCAGTACACATAGCTACCCATGATTTACCTTCCACAATGCTGGGTTGGGTTTGTTCTAGTTAAGCAGTGGTTTGTCTAAAAATTGTGTGAATAATTAAGATGTGAGTAGTTTTGAAAGCACATCAACAGCCCCAAAATGTGCTGCTACAGTGAGCACTGTCCCCAGTGGGTCAGAGTTTCTTTGGTGCACATGCAGAGGACTTAAAATGGAGCTGAATTTCTCTTCAGCCTTTAAAGTGTTACATGGAGACTCATCAGGGTCGCAATACAAAGTCCACTGAAGTAATAGATTAATTAATGAATTGAGCCTTTGATCAAACCCTGAAGCTTTCAGAGGTCAGTTGTGGAGCAAAGCTGACATTTAAAGTCTTGGACATTTTGTCAAATGCCATCTGGGCCAGGAACTGGCAACTTTCACTAGACCTGAGAGCAGCTTCTCCAATGTCATTCATGGCACT